GACCTCGACAACGCCCGCATGTCGCTGCCATTCAGGCTGATGTCAGATGCTCTACGAATAAGCACCCAGTAGGCGCCACTGCGTTCCATTCACGGGCGACGCTGCCGAAAGGGGCGTTGGCCTAATCCGAATCGTACGGGAGCAATCCTCGACGGTACCAGCCAGCTGGGAACAGGGACGGATTCGCACGGCCCTCCTTTGTCGACCGTAGATCGTCCTATCCGACCCCCCCTCCTCCTCTTGGGATTTCCCGGGCTTGCGGCGGTGATGAAGTTTGAGACTGCAAGAGAACTAGCATACCAAACCCTGCCTACAACACACCACTTAAAGCCCGAGGCATTTCCTGGATTGGGTCGGTTCGATTGGTCCGCCTTGGAAGCTCAAAAGACACACGCTGCTGCTGAAAATGGGAACGATTCCCACTGGCTGGATCGGGTTGGAATCCTCCATTGGGTTTTAGGCGACATCCATGTCGGAGTGGTTGGTTGAGAAGATGGGACGAATTTAAAATTGGGCGGTATAGGCAGGGGATGGCGGAGGAGAGGTCGGTACCGAATGGCCCCGTATGTCTTTCTGTGGGCTCCAGGGTAGTGTGCTTTGGGCCGATCGTCATGCTTGCTGTCCTGCAGCGGAATCCCAAGTCCCGGACCCCTATATCTGATATCACCCCCGGTGATAACACCAGGAGCTACGCAGCATCATATCAACCAGCGTTAGAGAACCACCACGGGACGCGAGCAGGCTCATGATCGCCGGGAAGGTCTTGCTCCAAACCGACATATCGATGGCTGGACTGCTGAGCTCGCGGGATCTAGAGGCTCTGGTCCTGTCAGACACACTGCCTGCCAGCCAGCCGCCAATACCAATACCAATACCAACGCCGACGCCAAGGTACAGTGCTCGCCAACCGCCACTCCAGGGCCTCTGTGCCAGATACACCATGTGTCTACTCACTTGTATCAGTAGTATTCGACCGGTGATTCTATCATCTCATCCCGCGCGCTTTGGCGGTGGGGTTGTCACGAAGGCCTGTTGCGGCTCCACCAACCTGACGACCGCATCTGGCTTCTGGTAGTAGTGTAGTTGGTCGCAGGAGGCCAGCCACAGGCCCGGCGGGAAGGGAAATTCGATTGATTCCTCACAGACATCGGACGAACCTCTGAATCCTGGTTCGGTCCGACAGGTTTCATCCCGAGCCGCCGGAGAGACGCTGGCAGCAGCGACAGATCCAATTAGCCCCCGGTTTGGACAGGACCTGTACCTGGATATTCGTACGCACATATTATAACCTACCTGCTCGGCAGCTGCAGCTACTGCAGGGAAAGCTTGGTGGAACTGCATCTTGGAGACGTGACAGCCCGGTCGGTTGGCTCTTTGCCGCCCTGCTCCACGCATGTTGCCGGGTTCATCCCATTTCCTGGCAGGACGAAATGAAGCGCCCTGCTTAATCAAGCTAACCCCCCCCCCCCTCCCCCCCTTCATGATCGATTGCAAGGTTGCCATATCGGACCATATTGAGACTGCGGGCAGATTGCCAAAGGATCCTGCGTTGCCGCAGATACACGAATGTCCGTACGTTCGTGCGGCTGCACCTCAGTCGGAAACACGGACCTGTCAAATGTCATGAAGCACGGGATGTAGCGAGGCATCAAGGTCCTTTCCCCATTCCCGGCCGTCGATACGACGTTGGACAAGTCCGGCCGACTCTAGATTCAATGCATTCAATACATTCTCTCGGGATCATTGGGCTATCAGCGGCATTTGTGTGACCCTGATCATTTCTTGCCATGTCGCCACCAGCATGTCGTCCTGGAAAGGCCCGAGTTACACACCTACAACCTGCCTAGCTCGACAGGGGAGGGGGGTATGGAAATGGAGCTACTGAGGGGAAGTTGGCGGAACTCCAAAGTCGATCCCATTGGTAAGCCTTGCTGGCAAAGCGCGCCGGACGAGGTCTTCATTGAGCAATGATCTCGACAAAGTGAGGCATTTTGTCGAACACCGGATAGGACCCGGATGCGGTTGTGCCCGCCGCGGCCCTCGAGATCAGACCATACAGACCTGCCTGCCGCTGCTTGAGCCCCCAACCGGCATCGTGCCGCACCCACTGTGATGCCGGGGCTGGAAGGCGACCAGTCTGTCTTGCGAGCTCATCAAGGGGGACAGAGGTAGATGCCCAAGTTCGACGTCATCGAGTTGGGATATCTACACGCTTTGAACAACAAGGCTGACAATAATCCCTTTTAGCCGCGGCGTCTCAGACATAAGACTAATACGAAGAATCAACTACCTAGGCACTGCCTTTTCCGCATGGGACCATGACCGTGCTTGTCAGTAGACGCTACAAGATCTGCCACTAGGGCGCAAACTAGACATCGGGTAGAAATTCCGTCATTTTAAAGAACCACTACCTGCCGCCACCTTCCTTTAGCTTTTCAGCAACAGACGCAATGCTGGACGGACGGGCGATGTTGCTCATGGAATGACGCTAGGCGACACGTTCACGGCCGTTGTCAAGTTTGGTGCAATCAGTCACAATGGCCTCTTTTTTTTTTTCGTTTTTTCCCCCGCTAGCCCCGGACGGGGCCAATACTATCGACATCGAGCCCTGCGGACTCGATATCGAGACGGTCCGAGCTGCGCTGGATCCCCTCGTCGTCCAAGACACGACAAGCGGCCTCTTCGACGACAGCTTCACGACGGTTCCCCGTCTCGGGCCTCTGTAGTCGGACGATCTATCCTTCGACGCTGATCCAAACGCGTTGTTTCGTCGCGCCGTGGGTATCGAGGAAGAACAAGACGAGGAGTCCCGACCGCGCCGGCGCGAGGCTGCTCCCGGCCGCGCCCCCCCCTCCCCCGAAGGTGCACGCTCCTTAGGTCCAATAGCCCCGGGGAACAGGATGCGAAGGCGCCCGACTGACTTCCGCCGGCATATCGTCTAGTGCCAGTAGGGCGCCGTTGTGAGCATGTCCGCGGTGCCTTGGTCTTCGCTCGTTGGCGGAAGAAATGCGAAGTCAAAATGCCGAAGACCTGCCAGCCGGTCCCCCCTCCCCCTTCCCCCAATGTCCACAACCTTGCCAGCAATACGATAGTGTCAAAGCATCACTAGAGCGATGCCTGCCCCTCTTCCAGACCTTCTACTCTCGGGGGGGGGCAGGGGGGCTGAATAGCCGTCATTCGGGGACTTTAACACCCCTACCTCCGATGACATCGTCAAGCCACCCTCTGTGACGGCGTAGTGCTTTGCACTAGGTACTGGATCTTGGGTAGATCTCGCCGGAAATCAATAGATAGAGAGAGTTAGAGGGCGGGAGGGCGGTATGAGAAAGCGGGAAAGAAGTCTCCGTCGCACATGCCCCTTCCCTTTTCTCCGTGCAACGGACACAAGCCGCCAGGGAGACGAGGGACGTTCGCTTATCTAGCCCCAGTAGGATCTAGTCATGTCATGACACGAAGTTGAAAATATAGGGAATGGGGAGAGGGGGGGTGGTATGCTCAGAACAGCCTCCCCGCGCTTGCGCATACACACACACACACACACACGCACGCACACACACACACATACCCTTGCTTGAGAGGCTGGACGTCGCTTTCATCGTCAGCCCGCGAACATTTCGGTGCTGAAGTGTCGGCAATCGCCGTCGTCTCAAAAGGCCGCTATTGCCCCGAGGCTTTCGCGGTTCTCGGATGGTCCATCAGGACGGCCGGCGTCGGCGAAGCCGGCAAGGGGGAATATGAATGTGTACCGTCGTCGACGCTCACATCCCATCCCCGCCCCCTCCATCCTCTTGAGCAACTATCCTCCCGCCTCTACAGCGGAGCGGTATTTTTTGATAGACCAGGCAGCCGAGTCCGCGATGGTGCGACCGACTCCCCTCTTTGGGCCCTTGCTAACCTTCCTGCTCGGCCAATCCCGGAGAGCGAACCATCACCTTGCGGCCTCGAAGGCGCAGCACGAGTCATTGACGTTGTTGTTCATTGTTCAAGTGACCGTGATAACGGAGGCGGAGAGGGGAGAAAGTCGGCGCGACGGGGGGTTTCAGTGCGTTCTGGACGGCCGGGAGACGCACAGTTTAGGTTTATGGAGGGGGAGGATATTCTCAGAGTCAGCTAGGGCATCTCGTTCTGCAGGCCGCCGTCGCAGCTGGGATGATGGCACCCGGGCGAGATCCCGAGACCCGAGCCCCGGTTCTTAGGCAGGGCGGTGAAGGTCTCTCCCCCCTCCCTGCCCCCTTCAAAGGCCCCCCCCCCCCCCCCTCTCTCCCTCCCCTTCCACGGAGGCGGAACATGGCGATGGGCAGGCGTGCGGAAATCTGTCAGGGAACACCTCCCGCTCTCCCTCGTGTCCGCCCACTCGTGATGCCTGGCCCTCCTTTTCTTCCTGTGCCGGCGTTCGGATTGCCGTCATATATCCAGAGCACACCGCGACGGTCTACCCCATCCCGACGATGCGGTTTCCGTCCGTCGGGAGACCTCGACTGAGTCTGGCCTGAACAGGCATCGTGGCGTGGGAGCGACGATGGCGAAGACGACGACGACGACGGCGACGACGTGGCGTCCACTCGCACCCCATCACATGGCAACGCACATGGCAACGTGGGGAAAGAAAACTGGCTGAAATGTACGCGAACTTGCTTCACTGCAATGTGACGTGCGACACATTGTCTCAGCACGGCAAGGGCGCAGAAGAAACATGTCAATGGTCCGTCCGGATTACTTAGGTACAGGCAGAAAACCACATTGCACGTCAAAGCGTGTCAAACAATGTCTTGGACGCCCGTCCCGCGCGCCCGAGACACCTTAAAACGCCGAACCAATCGTGACCTAATCCCCTGCGCGATGCCGCCCCCTCCCTCTTTTCGTTACATGTATTTTCGCTGTAAGAAGCGGTTGCCCCGGCACATGATGTCGATGATGATGTTTGAGATGAGTTGTACAAGAAAACAGCAAGCACTCGCAGATGTGCCCATGCCAAGAGCACACGACGCAGTGTTTGAGATTCACAATCGACTCTCGATGGGAGGGAACGGCTCCGCACCGGGCCACTGGGAGTCGGGCCAGACAAGCCGAATGGCCTCCCAGACGTGACTGGAGTGAGACAAATGTCAGTTGCACGATACATTGTGAAGAGCGGTCCCAGGACCGGGGGTTCGAGGGCAGTTTGACGGCGTCGCACAGCATCGGGGGGGACACAACGCCAGTGGGAGCGGGCGGTTGCTTGAGAAGGGGAGGAGGAGAGGGGGGGGGGGGGGGGGGTAAGAGGGGTGCGACTTGAACAAGCGAGAGAGCAGAGTACACGAGACATGGGGGCTGGGCGCTAGACTTACTTGACATGGAGGATCTCCAAACCGTCCTTGACCTCCTGGGGGAGATCTTTGACATCCTTCCGATTCTGCGCGGGGAGTAACACCGTCTTGACGCCCGCCCGAAGGGCGCCGATGAGCTTCTCCTTGATGCCTCCGACGGCAGTGACACGACCCCGCAAGGATATCTCGCCCTGTGTCACGGCATGTTGTGTCAGTGTACCGGCTTTCAAACAGTCAAACAGTCTTGCCGCCGAAAGAACGCTTACCGTCATGGCCATTGTAGGAGGCACAGGCTTGCCGGAAAAGAGAGAAATGAGGGCAATCGCCTGCGCCATACCACTGCTGGGGCCGTCCTTGGGAATGGAGCCCGAGGGGCAATGGACGTGGATGCTGCGCTCCTTCATGATGTTGGCATTGGGCTCCGACGTCAAGCCCAGCTCATACGCATGGGCCTTGACCCAGGAGAGGGCGACCTCCACACTCTCCTTGAGCACGTCTCCCAGTTTGCCGGTAAGCTGGACGCTGCCGTTACCGGGCATATCGGCGACCTCTATAAACAGGATACTACCGTTGCCACCCGAGCTGTACGCCACCAGACCGGTAACGATGCCAGGCTTACTCGTCTTCTCGGCAATTTCCTCCTCAAACTTTTCGATGCCCAGGATCTCTTCAATATCGTCGACCGTCAGTTGCGGCCTGTACGTCTCGAGCCGTCCCCCGTCCTTGGCCTCGGCGAACTCGACAGCCTTGGCACGGCAGACGGAGCCAATCTCGCGCTCAAGGTTGCGAACCCCTGATTCACGAGTGTACGACTCGATAATCTTGGACACGACCTCTTTGTCAAAGCTGATCTGGTCCGCCGAGAGCCCGTTGACGCGGATCTGCTTGGGCACAAGGTGCTGCATTGCAATGTGGCGTTTTTCAAGGGTCGTGTAGCCCGGCAGATAGATTGTCTCCATCCTGTCAAGAAGCGGGGCAGGAATGGTGTCCAGGCTGTTGGCGGTGGCGATGAACAATACCTTGCTCAGGTCGACGGGCAGGCCAACGTAGTGGTCGGTGAATGAGTTGTTCTGTTCGGGATCCAGGACCTCGAGCATGGCCGCGGATGGGTCACCTTGATGATTGGACATGCCCAGCTTGTCGATCTCGTCGAGGAGGAACACGGGGTTCGCCACGCCGACCTTTCTCAGACCTTGAATAATCAGGCCAGGCATGGCTGCCACGTAGGTCCGCCGATGACCGCGAATCTCGGCTTCATCCCTGACACCACCAAGTGAGATGCGATGGAACTTGCGACCGAGAGCTGTGGCGACAGACCTGGCCAGACTTGTCTTGCCTACACCAGGAGGGCCGGCTAAGAGCATGATGGGTGACCTATCAACCATTCGCTTCGACCGAAGCACCTCGATCTTGGTGTTGGAAAGCCTTGTCCGCTCCTCCATCTCGGCGTCGGCGGCCTCTTTCTTCTCGGACTCTGCCTCCTTTTTGGATTTAGGAGTCACCGCCTCCTGCTCTGCCTTGTTAATCTGCTCGTCAACATCGTCGTTAATGGATTGCTTGAGCCTCAGTACAGCCAGATACTCGACTAGTCTTTTCTTGACCTTGTCCAGGCCATAGTGGTCCTCATCCAACTGCTTTCGGGCTCTGGCAAGCGTGTCGGGCCCCAGTCTGTCGTCCGTAGTCACAGACCAAGGAATTTCAGCAAGCACATCCAGCCACGTCCGGGTGACCTGGTATTCTTGGTTGCCGGGCATCATCTTCTTAAGCCTTCGGATCTCCCTCTCGGCCATCTTGGCCGCTTCAGGCGGGAGATTGGCCTTGTCCAGCTTCTTCTTGAGCTCTTCCAGCTCGTTGGGCTCCTGTTCGTCGTCTTGGCTGGGGCCCATGGCGCCGTTGGGATTTTGGAATAGGTAGTTGGGCGGAGTGCCGTTTGATCCGACGCGGCGGGACGACTTGTCATTCATTTTGTCGAGGAATTGTATAGGAACGCTAGTGAATGTGGTGATCTTGAAGTTGTTTTTGATACCGCTGACCTGGCGGTCCAGCAGTTCAATGACCTTGGCAAGGCGAACCTTGACGTCGAGGGCGGCCAGTACCTCGAGCTTCTCTTCGTACGATGCCTCTACAATGTTGGCCATGAAGTCGGCGAGTAGGCCTGCGTCGTTGAGCTCCTTCTTGTTAATGAATATCTCGAGCCTCCGGGTCAAAAGGGGGGACAAGCCGCCGGGGCTGTCTGGGGTTCTGGGGAGGAGTGCGGCTATACGGAGAATAGTGACGAGTTCTCGTGATCGCAGTTTAAGAAGGGAGAAGAGTTCTTGCATCTGTGCATCCGTGGCGACTAGGGGAGACGTTAGCATGCGTGGGGTGACGGAGGGTGTTGGGGAAGAGAGATGGGGACGCTGTTCACCTTGGTCGTAGAAGTACTTGACCGTGGCCTCAAAATGCGGCCTCTCCTGTGTGACCTTTTCAACACGGATCCTGGCGACGCCCTCTACACGAAGAGCGAACTCAGCGGTGCCCCTCCCCTCAATGCCGGTGATGCGGGCGGCGACGCCGTAATTGAAGAGGTCAGCCTTGCGGGCGGTACCGGGGTTGACCTCCTTGATGAGGGACTCGTCCATGTGGTCGGCATCTTGGATGAGAAGCTGGCCGTTGGGGCCGACAAAAGGGGAAGAGACGGGGACGCAAGCGATGGGGACGGCGTCGATGCGCTCGTTCGGGGCGGCGGTAGCGGCGCGGGTGTATACGTTAGCGAGGAGGGCGGGGATGTCGGGACGGGAGGCGGTGACAAGGATGCGCTGGGAGACGCCGGGCAGGAGGATGGTGCCACGGGCCAAGGGGATGACGGGCAGGGTATCTGTTTGGAATCGCGCCATGTGGAAGCCGGTTTCGGGGTGTCGCGTGATGGGTGATGTGGGCTGGCTGTTGGTTTACGTGCACCTCACCTCGTACGGTGACGATGGATGGATGTCGGTGGGTGTAGGTTGACGATAAGCGAATGTGGATTGTGGATGGCGTCACGATATATACCTAGGACAGAAGACGAAACAAATGTGGCTTGAACAAACGCAAGCGGGCTGGTGTATGACGAAAGAGCAGTCGCAATGGCTGTGGAAGAAGGGCAGAAGAGGGAAGAAGATATAGTTTGAGGGGTGGATGGATGATGGATGGATATTACATAGGTAACGACCATGTCAGAAGCAGCAAGCCATCACGCCCGGGAGGAGCTCCCCCCCCCAGTATTTGGTGGGTGCAACGCAATGCCGGCGCGTGCGGTGTGGGGACGCTGCTGCGCTGTTGGTGCGGGAGCCTCCGCAATGGAGTTCAGCCGAGGCTAATCGGCGCGTGTGTGGTGACAACTGCTACACCCATCTTCGAATGGTATCGAGAGAGAAACTCATGGAACATCTTGTCATGGCAATCATCACGGCAGACCTGGATCCAGAGCCGAAGCTATGTAAATTCCGTGAACCCACCCTCTCTTTTTTTTTATTGGTGTGTAAAGACATGCTAGCTGACAGTATTGAGTGAGACAAGAGCGGGAAATACCTAGGCAACATAGAACCGGCCCTACGCACATGGTCATTATCCGTACAAATCATGATTAGACCACTGTGACGAACGCATTATATTGGTTTAATTGGATGCGTATATTGCTGCGAAGGGCCCATCACATCAGCCAGCATCGAGTTTATAGCTATGTGACTATGGTAGGTAGGTGGATAAAAGCAAGGGCCTCACTCACATGGATTTCAGGGTGTAAGTTTGGTAGTGGTCAGGTACAGTAGGTTACCTGAGGTACCCACGCCGCGTCCCCGATGACCGGAACCCTGCACAGACCACACACAGTTCGTTATGATTATATAATCTTGGCCATCCCGGCCCACTACCGGTAGGTAGGTAACTGACTGCCCAGCCATGTCTGAACGCGGGGGCATCAGCATTCCACAGTGGGCGTAGGTAATACCGGTAGCCTGTAGGCGTGCACATCAATTAAACTCCCCGTCGCGTCGCTAGGCAAAAAGACGCGTCTCGTCCAAAAAACCATCACCATTCATTCCACCGCCTTACCCCCTCCATCCCGCTCTACCTCTCAAGCAACCCACCCTTCTACTTCACTGCCCCCGCGATAAACGACCGACGCTAGGACTCCTTCAAATATCATAGAAACAATGAGTACGTTTCCGTTGCTCCTCCCTACCCTCCATCCCGTGAAAACAAGAAACAAGAAGAAGAAGAAAAGAGAGAGGGGCGACCAATTATCCGAGCTAACTGTCGCGCACAACAGCTTCATACGGCGGCTTCACGAAAACAGCCTACGGCGCCCAGGGCGGCGACGACGCTGGCGGCTTCGTCTACGGCGGCTCTCAGCAGGGCAGCCAGGGCGCCGGCGGCAAGGCCTACAGCGAGGAGTCCCTCCGCCCCGTCACCATCAAGCAGATCATCGACGCCGAGGAGGCCTACCCCGGCGCCGATTTTAAGATCGACGGCGTCACCGTCACACAAGTCAGTCCTCCCTTGCCTCCGTACCCCCCCGATAATCAGCCTACCCGCCTCCTGGCGAATCACTTGCTTGCGAGAGGATGAAAGATGAAGATGAAGATGAGGATTTAGAAGAATAAGAAGTAGCCGGAAAGAAACAAGAGCACCCAGCTAACCTCCCGGCTCCCCGCCGTCCACAGGTAACCTTCGTCGCCCAGATCCGCCAAATCTCCCCGCAGCCGACAAACATCACCCTCAAGCTCGACGACGGCACCGGCCTCATCGAGGTCAAGAAGTGGGTCGACACGGACAAGAAAGACGACGCCGACGCCAACCTCGAGCTCGAGGGCCACGTCCGCGTCTGGGGCCGCCTCAAGTCCTTCAACGGCAAGCGCCACGTCGGCGCCCACTTCATCCGCCCCGTCACCGACTTCGACGAGGTCAACTACCACCTCCTCGAGGCCACCTACGTCCACCTCTACTTCGCCAAGGGCCCCCTCAACGGCGCCCCCGGTGGCGCCGCTGCAGGCGGCGACGGCATGTTCGTCGACGGCGGCGACTCGTACGGCGCCGGCGCCGGAGCCCCTACCGGTGGCAACTCCGCCCAGGCCGGCAAGCTCAGGGGGTGCTCGGCCGCCGCACAAAAGATGTTCAACTTCATCAACAACTACCCCGGCGGCAACGAGGGCGTCCACCTCAACCAGATCTCGAGCGGCGCTGGCCTCAGCGTGCGCGACGTGATTGGCGCCTCGGACGAGCTGCTCGGCCAGGGCCTGATTTACACGACGATCGACGACGAGACGTGGGCCATCCTCGACTACTAGCCTCACCAAAAGGGTTCACAGGGTGTCTCGGAAGCAAAGGGGGAGGGGGAGCCGGGCGCATTTGCCACGTCGTAGAGAAAATGGAACGTACGCAGGAGGGGGAAGAAAAACAAAAAAGGAACCCTGAGGGCTCCTCCAAGGCGAGCGGAGGGCTTCATCGACTCTGGGTCAAAAGAGCTTGGCATGGTGCATTTGTCACACAACACGGGCGGAAAAGCAGAGGCGCGCGTGGAACAGCCGCCGACTTGTTGATACGAATGATATGAGTGAAATAGGCCATTGATTTTTTTTTTTTAATGAACGGCTAGAGCTAGTCGGTAGATACAAGCAAGCTGAAAGCGGGAAACACCCAAAGGACAAAATAAACTTTAAAAAAAAAAAAAAAGTGGAAACTATAGAAAGCAGGACACTTCGTCGTCCACCCCTTGCGACAGAGACAAGTCAGTCCGAGTCTGAGCCAAGGGTGTTGAAACCCGGCACGCCCATCGAGGGGAGGGGAAGGGGGCATGTTGAATTCTTGAGCTGTGGTCAGCATGGAGACACAGGCAGCAACGCCCAGAAGGACCTCGGCGTCGAAGAAAAGACTCGACTTTTCAGACGATAGCATAGCAGAACAAACCAAAAACAAGAAACCCAGGGCATGTCGAGCACTTCACCAGTTTCCACGTGTCATGATAAAACAGGAAAAGAAAAGAAAACAAGACAAAAAAGCTGACTGACAGGGAAGGATGAGAAACCCTCGGCACGAACATCAGATCCGGACCGTCTCCTTCATCACGGCGTTGATTTGCATCTTGATGTTGCTGGAGACGACGGTCGAGTACGTGTGGCCGCCCGTCTTGCCGCCCGTCTTGCCGCGCGGGCACGGCTCGCGGACCATGATGAACAGGCTGACGGGGGCGTTCCCGCGGGTCAGTCGGATCTCGCGCTTGTACTCGAACCCGAACTTGCGGTAGTACGCATTGTTGGCGAGAGAGCTGGACTCGAGGTAGACGGCCCGGTTTTCCACGTCGGCCTGCACGCGTTAGTCAAACGCCGGTCTTGGTTTGTGCCAGACACATCTTGGCTGATATGTCCGATCGAAAAAGAAAGAAGGACAAAAAAAGAAGAAAAAACACCAGAAGGGGGGGGGCACTCCCGGCTAGTAACGTACCCTCTCAATCATGTCGTTAAGCAGCTTCCGCGCATACCCCTTACCCCGGGCGTTGGGCTTGGTCCCTAGGTAGACCAGGTAGTAGCAGTCATTGTCCCTCTCACCCATGACCTCGAGCTTGGTGTCATGAAGCAGAGGCAGTAGTTCGTCGTAGTAACGACGTCTGGCCTCCACCGTGAGCTGAAAGTAGAGTCGCCACAAACCGCTCCGGAGGATGGTCCACCATCCATCAGCGTCCTTTCCAGGAGGCATCCTATACAATCCATCTAGTGTTAGCTCGCGATTGTCATTATTGGGAGTGCACCGGTTGCTTTCAGGTACCCCGGTGTTGATAGATCGCCGAGACACACAGGCCTTGTTGAGGGGGGTGAGTGTAAAACACGGGACGAGAACTCACCACAACGCCACAGCATCGTGGTCCGGACCAATGGTGGTGACTATGCCATTGAGGCAGTGGGCGGCCGCAATATAGACCATGATGTCGACATGCAGTTTCCACTTGGACTCGGCCGACAGGCTCGCCATGTCATCGGCGTCGAGAAGATACTGGCTAAGATCATCAGCAGCAAAGGCATGGGCCAGCGAGAGGCCGGCCTCCTTGCACTCCGACATGCCAATGACACGCACGGTATCCTCCCACTTCGGGGGCACGAGGGAGCGTTTGAGTTCAACGAGGGTGACGCTTTTGCTTACGTGCTCCATGACGGGCTTCTTTTCCAAGGGGGCCTGTCTTGTTCACGAATCTGGAACGGCATTAGTACCGAGGCGTGCCTGTCTTGAGAAGGCGAGACCGGTGCGACGACGTACTTAAATTCTGTATACTATCGCCCGTATGTACTCTCGAGAGTTGTGTTCTCGAGACGGGCATAAATCTGGATGGGTGGCGCAGGCAATTGAGGCTTGTACGAAGGTCAACCGACATCAATAATGATTTCGACGGGTCAAGTCTTTAGACTGGGTCTGTAGGGTTCGGGAGTGCAAGAGGATGATGTCGTCAGCAAGGCGCGGGAGACAACGTCGTCTTCACGATATGCGATGAACGAGGATTGCTTTCTTTGGTTGATGGTTATTTCTTGTTTAGATGGCAGAGCGTCAGATGAGGGTAGTAGGGAAAGGGGGGGGGGGGGGGGGGGGGTTGTGAGAAGAGTTTGAGTGAAAGCTGGAATTGATTGTAGTCGAGACGATGAGTAGCAGTCTAGCAACAAAGCACAGCTGACGGCTGTGATCTTGTCCAGAGATCTGCCCCCCGGTTCTTGGGGCCTTGAAGACGAGGTACACTCGATGCAGAAAGGACTTTGATCCTGGTCCTTGCCTTGGTAGGAAGGCAAACAATGTGTGTGTATGTTGGTGAGAGCCTATCCAAAGCGTGTAACGATGGAAGAGTAGGAAAAGAAGGAGAAGAGGGAAGGTCAGTGGGGAGCGGAGAGGAGACGGGGATTATGTAGTCAGGCAAGTGTCACTAGACGCACAAGGAATAGCAGGCATTAGGCCGGCCAGAGGGAGGGTGAGACAGGAAGCTGCTGGGCCGACGGGAAAGGTGGAGGTTGCGGAGAGACAAGGCGGCCTTGCGTGGGGATGAGCTTGCAGGTTGCTGAGAGGCCGTGACAGGCGTCAACAGCGGGATGTTGAGGCGAGCCGCAGAATCATCTAAACACGGCATAGCCGTGCAGCTGCACACAGCACAGGTCTTGCCAAAGGGACGTTGCCTGCCCCATCATGGACGGATGATGGAGCATGACGAGAATGGGCAGGCTGACCATGGACAATATCTGACTTGGCCAGAGAGGGGAGAACAGGCGGTTTGTACCGACAACCCTATGCGGGCAACCAACGACCTTGGCTCGGTTTGGCTCAACACTAGTCAGAATCGTGCTGATGGACTCGAGCTATCGAGATACGAAGGCACGAGGACAGCGGTGCGTTAACAGTATGGTTCAGTCCCGAGAGCAAAAAAGACGGTTGATCATGCATGGGAGCGTACGGATACTGGTGGTTGCCATCCGGACCTTGTAATGCACGGGTATGCAGGTCTAACCAACGCCGTCCGGCTTCTTAGTGCACACGAAGCGGCAGCCAAGGGGCTTAGGCCTGGTTGAGGAGCTGTTGAGGAGTGCCAGTGTTTGCCGCACGACGACGCATGATCAGTCGGGTGTGCGGGGAAGGGCAGACCAGCCAGACCCTGTCGGTTGGGTCAGGTATCCTAGGGATTGTCGGTCGGGTGCATCCTGTGGCCTGTATCTTGGGGATCAACCATGGCATATCTTCAAGACTAGCCAATCGCGGCGGCTGGACATGCCAGCAACGGCCTAGCCCACTGAAACATGATGTGGCCAAGGCGTTCCATTGCTCCTATCAGCTCCGTCCTGGGGGCCACGGCACCCGGACGTCGGTGCCCGGGCGCGCCGTACCGTGTGGCGGCGCCGTATCCGGCGGCCGTCGCAGCCTGACAGAGGCAGGCTCGAGCCCCATTCCAAGCTTGTCCCAACAAAGCTGCTTTTCGACACTGTGTGCAGGCCCCATCAGTTTATAGTCCTTAGCGCCTAAGAAGCTCTACACGATTGATTCGTCGCGACCGCGTCGTGACGTGGGGAGGAGGCAGGAATGCTTGATTAGATAAGGCTCCTAGTAAGAGTGAGATAAGCCAACCAGACAGAACGTGGGGTGCATATGCGTCATGTGCCAAGTTCAAAGGGCGAAGACCCCCTCTCTGTTGCCCCCGTTGGGCGTGGGGTGCGCACTAAGTCTTCTCGTATCGCTGTGTCCATACTGCTGGTTTGACTCTGTCTCTCTCCCTTTAGCTCAAAGCTTGTGTCCAGGAGTCCGGTGCCAGTCGTAGCCATCGAGTCGGATAACGGGTATCCTGTCTTTGAACAGACAATACTCCGTAGTCGTGTTAGTGTCGCGTCGGCAAGCAGGAAGCAGCCACTGAGCGAGCTCCGTGTTTCATCCTTTCGAATTCTCTCGGCCTTAACTTAACCATGGCAAGAAAGCTGAGGAGGAGCTCATCACGTCTTCTCCGTGGCAGGCGGCACCTCACTTTCATCAGGCAAGGCTCCTCCTCCTCCTCCACCACCACCCTTTCCTACTCACTTGGACCCGCGTGGTTCCAAAGCCAAACTCCTTTGTGTTTTGACTTTTCTGGTCCCCTGAGCACTCCGGATGAGATAACAACTTGATAGAGTCACAGAAGCTCACCTGCACACGGGCGGTGGTGTATCGCAAAGCCGGACCAGCAAGTCTGCGGATCCTGGTTTTCGAGCGCGAGCGACACGAAACAACTTTCACACGGCGTTGGCCTTAAGCGGCGTGTGCCCATCTGGCGCAGGCAAGCCACGACAGCTTCTCATGAACCCCCCCCCTCCCCGTGTCTCGATCCGAGCATGTAACACACCTCGGACAGATGGATGGCTTCGGTGCTCACCGGTCGAGTCAACGTCTTGGGCGAATTCGCCGCCCTCGAGTCCTCGCCCGTGCCCAGTTTCGCTCCACGAAAGGGAAAGGCTCCGGGTCCACGTTTGCAGCAACCAAAGTGGCCAAGATTGGAGAGGTGCAAGGCATAAAGCTTTGTCGATCAAGGAGGCCAAGAGCCAGCACCACAAGTCGTACTTATGTGATTTCAAAGGAAGGGGGGATGGGATATCTAGGTGTAAAAAAATCCAGAAGAAAGGAGACGGGGCGCGCACCGACAGCAACATTACCCCCTTTTGTTTTCTTCGTTTTCTGACGGCACCGCACAACATCAAAATTCCACGCCCAATGCTCTCTCTCTCTCTCCCCAAATTCTGTCCCGGCTCTTCGCGGCCCCACCAAGAACAGCAGCAACACCCTCCGCCAATCATAAGACTCGAGCGCCATTGCCTGTTCACATGCGGCGGATCTCCTGCTCGTTGGTGTACTTCTCCAGGCCGTTGTCGAGGTTCTGCCACCACTCGAACAGCATGGACTCGCAGATGAGCTTGAACCAGGGGGTGAACTTGAGGCTGGGGTCCTGGAACAGCTTCTTGAGCTCGTCAGCGCTGACGTACTGCGTCGCCTGGACCTCGTTCTTGTTGATGTCGAGGTCGACCTTGGCCTTGATGAAGAGGATGTAGTCAACTGCAATTCCGTCAGCACCATCTCGACAACAACCCCCATTTGCTTCTTCGCCTCGTTATCCGCTCAGCGGGGGGAGGAGGGGAGGGAGGGTGACATACTCTCGTGCTCTCCCCACTTGCCATCGCTAGGAGCCTTGTAGTGGATCCGCGTCAGGAAGTGGAAATCGTCAAAGGGGACCTGTGCGGGGTTGATGCCCAGCTCGTGTTCCAGCTTCCTCTGCGCCGCACGCTTCACGCCCGCGACTGAGTCCTCGAGGTTCGAACCCGTCTCGCCGGGGATGCCCAGCGGGTGGGAACAGCAGGTGTTGGTCCACATGTCGGGGAAGGTGATCTTCTCCGACGCGCGCTGCTGTAGGAGCAGGCGGTTGTCGGCCGGGTCGAAGAGGAAGACGGAGAAGGCGCGGTGGAGAAGGCCCTTGTCGATATTGGTCATGAGGTGGCCTGCGGTATGGGATCAGTCAGCCGGGCTTCTCCTGAGCCGTACGCCTACACGTCTAGGCGACGCCGCTCTACACCACACCGCCCTTGATGGTCTGGCAGGCGCGCGAGGGGGGGGGGGGGGGGGGGGAAGACTTTAAAACCTTTTTGGTGGGGCCTCCCAAGGGCTTTGCGTTTCCTTCCCCCCACAAGGTAAACTCCATCCTTAGAGGGATTCGTCCCGCCGCCTGACCGGTGGAGGCCCCCGGGGTTGTGTCGTAATTCGGGAAAAAGCGCACAAGTAACCCCCCCCGTATGGCCTCCATACTAGGGGGCCCGCGCCAAGAGAACCCCTTCTTTTATCGATATAAGCAAGAGTTGGCGAGGGGCTGGGGTCGACCGGGGATCAGTGAGCTTGCTAGGGGGAGCAGTGTGAGGAGCTACTCCGTACAGATTAAGGAGTGCAGGACTAGAGCTTTAAGGCTGCAGAGCTGAGAGTAGACACGCTAAGAGATATGGCAAATCTTAGAAACGACAACAGGCACTAGACTGCGTCTCGTCAGCAAGAGGGACGAAATGTGTAGAGAGAAACGAGCAGAAAATACACAAGTCTACTACGACAAGCAATATGTACGAGTAGGACAGTGCGTGACTGACTGCGCTCAGCGGCAGGCGG